GATCAGTTCCTGAACTGAACATTGGCGACACAACGGCGATACTCATCCCCAAATTCTATTTGTCACCGTTACATGATTTCAAATTTAATTTTATAACTCTTCAGCCAATCATAAAACTCGGTCAGTAAAAATTATCCAATACGAGCTGCCAAGTCTACAGTCCACATGGACCAGTTCGCTGCCGGTTCATTCCTATGTATTGTTTTTTTTGCCTTTGAGAGTGCCGCCAACTTCAAGAGTACACATTATCGTTTACTTTGACTATAGTAGTTAGGCCACTAGCATATAAAAACACTAACATACTGGTAAAATTTAGTCACAATGATCTCCTGAGGACGCTAACTTGTTTAGCGAAACACGCGTCGAGGGACAGTAATTTTTGTTGTGGGGTTAATAAAATGTTTTCAATAGATAGCCCCTTCAATGTTTTCATCGTTTTTATGCAATGAGAAAAATATTCAAATTAAATTCACTTCTAAGAGTCAATAAAAGAAAATTACACCCTAGAATATCTTATTTCTCCACTGACAATAAGAAATCTTATTCAAAAGTCAAACACTACCATCAGTTTAAACTTTAAACTATCACCTAACTGAATTTCGTAAATGCTTAATTTCGCTAGCTAACGCTGGCAACACTGTTCCGCGGCTCGTGAAAAATATCAAATAACAAGACACCTCCTAACAAGGAAGATGGTGCATAGGCGAAGAAGACGGAACGAAAATCTAATAGCTCGACTAGGTCGATATCGGCATCCTGTGTAGTTTGGCATTTCGTGTTCCACCTGTAATTATATGCTGGGATTCCGAAAGGTGAAGCTTGGATGAGCACGGGCGGAGCGGATGAAGGGAAACGGAGTGGGTAATTGAGCGGATGGGAACGTTTGAAATATTTGTTTTAGTTCTAATTTGAAATTATGTTCTCTATGATAGGGGTTAACATACCTACGATTGTGAGAAAACCTTAATGTGGGAATTGAAGAAACTGCATTTTGATTAATGTTTTTGCTTTAGATATAATCTACAGTGTGTCCTATTTAAAATGAAAGCACCATTATAAAACATATATTTCTCATACGATTGAAATGGTTTTTATTTTCATTAGGTAGATTTTCGACAAGCGTATTAAATCACCAAATTCCTCGAATGAGTTTTCGTTTTCAGGGCCAACTTTTATTATTTCTCAATGTCAAAAATGGAAAAAAATATTAGCCATATTTATGAAGAATCTGGAGTACGAAGAAATGCATTCTCATTAGAACAGCTATAGGGACGTAAAGTCTGAAAATATTGCCATTTATTCAAAAATTCAGTTTTGAAACTTTCACCAAAGTTCTAACTATTCACTGGATTCGGCAGGTTTTGGTTTATCACTGGCCAGAATTTCACCAAAATCTGTCCATCACGTAAAAATTTATAAGCAAAGACATTTTGAAAAATATGTCATTTAAATACATTAATTGATGTAGCCGTTACTACGTGGTAGGAGATCATTATGAAAAATGAGTTACAAATGCAAGTGCTAAGAAACACAAAAAGTTTTATTTATCATCATAACAAAAATATATAAATATCTGTACAAGAATGTGAAACCTTGAATGTGTAGTAGTACGTAGTACACATGCAACGATTATGGGCATTGCAATTTTATATTATTAGAAGCAATGGGCTAGTGAATTGTGGAGTTCATATATTCTTCTATTGAGTAGAAGCAATGTTCAGTCAATGTTATTTTTCTTATGAAGGTACATGCTGAGATTTGATAGGCCTTCACTGAGTTTATTGTACAAATTTGAATTTGGAGAGTTTAAGGAAGATATTTTCAGTCTGAACCTGTTTGGCCTCAAATGTCGATTATTTCGGGTGGTATAGTTGTAGAAGTTGAGTTCAACTTTAGATTTCCCCTATTCCTGTACAATTCAATAAGAGTTTGACATGAATTAATGCAAGGAAGTAGCATTATTTGGTTTTTAATGAAAAGTGGCCTACAAGTTTGGTTGTAGCGCGTAACTTCGATTATTCTCAACGCCCTCTTTTGCAACTTGAATACTTTTGATGCCTGACTAGAATTTCCCCATAAAATGGTACCATAGCTTTTATATGCGAATGAAAGAGAGAGTGGTATGTAGTCAATAGCATATCTTTGTCCACAATATTACGCAACAAAAATAGTTGGGTACACAGTTTATTGCAAAGATGGTTTATGTGGCTATTCCACTTTAATTCATCATCGAGAGTTATTCCCAGAAGTTTAACAGTGGAATCATTCGATCCATGTGCTGGGTCTTATCGATTCTCATTTTAAGTTTATTTGTCGTAAACCACAGTTCGGCTTTAGATGCAGTAGTCGCCATTTGTTTATCGAGTACAAATCGACTATAGTGCGAATTTTCAAAAAAGTGTCATCATAAAAAGCAATACACATGTCCGGAGGCAAGTAATGGAATATATCATTGACATAAATGGCAAAAAATAATGCCCCAAGGACGGATCCTTGTGGCACGCCATGATCAGTATGAGTCCGTAGCGAAGTGGTTCCGTTGAGCGATACCACTTGGAGATTAGTCAAATAGGACCCCTGGGGTACCCCTTATCCCATAGTGCTCGAGCTTTGCCAGCAGCAGCTCAAGGAAGACACTGTCAAACGCCTTAGATAAGTCACAGAGTATAAGACCTATTAACTTCCCAGTATCAAGGTCCTCAACTATCCCTCTCACGACTCTGTTAACTGCTTGGACTGAGGAGTAGTTTGTCCGAAATCCATATTAACAATTGTGAATTGTGTCCTGTTCCAAAGAAACTAGTGTCCGACCGAAAGTTCGGTTTCGGTCGAGTTTCGGTAAAAAAACGGGCGTCAGTTTAGTCATGTTGTGATACTTTGTGATTTACTTTGTTTATTACATAAATATTAAGTACCTATTGGTAACAACTTAAATAAGTAATTTTATGTTATTTTTGAAAAACCATTAATAATATTCAAAAGAAGAATCTACACTTACTCAAATAAGCACCTCACCTATTTTAAGTATTTTTCAAGTGCAATTAATATATTTTTCTTAAATACGGGGTTGTTATGTTGATTATCAGTAAGTGAAAATGTCGAAGACTGCATAACGTTGTGATTTAAAGATAAAAAAATAAACACTGACTGATTATAATAACGTTTTTCTAATTTTTCCCTCAAAACATAATTCTTGTAAGGAAGTTTCGGTTTCGGCCGAAACTGAGACCGTTGCCGAAATTTGGTTTCGGTTTCGGTCGTAAAAACCAGTTTCGGTCGGACAGTAAGAGAAACAGTATAACCGATTTTTTTTAAGACGGTGCTCACATTTTGAATGAGTCACAATAAAAATAATGAATTTATATTTAAGAAGAAAGTAATACAAATCATGAAACAACAACAAAAATTAATTGGCGCTCCGGGGCGTCTTCATTGATTCCAGTGGCGCATTTGCTTTTTCATCTGCAGGAAAACCCTGAAAAACTTGCACCACATCATCTGTAGATCTTGATCTACCAATGCCCTCTCTTTCATAAAACACAATGTAGGGTGTCTCCAGAGGCTCCAATAAATTCAAGGCATCGCCAGAAAACTTAGTGACACGACTATCGTCAAACCTAAACCAGTCCGTTTCGTCTTTGACCAATACATAATAATGACCAGATTCAACGCCAAAACCACAGTGAACAATGACTGTATGAAGATTATAGTAGTGGTCTACTAGATAAAAGTGTTCATCTATTTCGAACCTTCGTAAGAGTTTGGTGCTTCCGTCAGAGGTCGAGACATGTTTGAAGATCATCAATGTTATTATTATATTGACTGGTCCCTTAGCCATAGTTGTTTTCTTATAATAATTAGTCAGTTTGGCAATATAGTTAATCGTCTACCGTTGAAAGTTCCATTTTCTGATGATTTAACAATAAGCTTTGCACGAACTGGTTATCAGTCATATTAAGAAACGCTAGTTGGAATTTTGTATATAATTTGTGATAAGTAGGCATTTGTGTAATAGTACTCAATTTCAGAACTCGGTAGTTGTCCAGAAAGGATCTACATGATACACTTTAAAAAGATGCTGAACAAATAAAAAACTGTAATAACTTCATGAAATTCAGAATATTGAAAAAAATTATTCTTCAGGAACCAAATGGAAGAAAATTAATATTTGTGGTCAAAATTTTTCATAGTTGAATATATTTTTTTATTTACAATTTTTTTTCTCTTTGTACTTTTAATATATTGGCAAGTGAATGATCTAGTCGTAAGTCATCAAAGTCTTAATTTTTCTGCTGTGATGAATTAGAAATGAGACAGTCATTTGAAATTATTTTAAAATCATATATTTTATGTACCACGACATTGACTGTATACATATAATCGGGTGTAAACCTGTTTGAAATGCAGTTTAAATAAAATCTATCTATGTTTTCATTTATATTAAATAATGAATTAACATACAATAGTTTTATACCAGCATAAGTGTTGTTTGACTATTCATGCCATGATATGAAATATATGGTCTATAGACATGAAAACTTTTGTTATCGAAACACATTTTGTAATGTTACGTTCTGTTATCTAACGTTCCATACACATATGTACTATGTATATGTAATAATATTATATTATAATGTTACTTATACGGCACTTCAATAGATTGATAAGTCCAATAATCCGGCAACCTATGCCCGCGTCTCCCTCGCCCCTCTATACCTATGCGCTCGGTCGCCAAGACGTCGTCTAGCAGTCTAACCTCAAAATTTATCATTAGCACGTGCGTACGTATTCACCTTTTATTTTGAAATGAGAAAAGTGTGTAGTTGAAAATGTCAAGAAAACGGAAACACAAGACACAATTTTATTTATTATGATGTTTTCTCTATGATCCGGTAATCCAAACATTCCAATAATCTGGCACCCTCTGATTTTTGATAGTGACTCTACTGTATTTCGAAGTTTTATAAAAGTCAGGTTTATATAATACATTAAATATCAAATATGTTTCGAAAATAATATTTAATAAATTCTCTATAACAACTGATCACAATATGTACTCTATGCCATGGATTTATTGTCCTTTCTTATGAAACTCCAATGTAGAAAAAAAAGGAACCCTACAATGGAAATTAACAAATACTTTTATCTTACAAATCTAACCACGATCCAATTAGCTGCTGAATTTGAACTCTAGCAGCTCGCAATTGTGGGGTATCGTTTTCTGACTTGGGATACATATTAGAACAATGTGCACCACCTAAAAAATAATTTGTATTATCAATTTTTGAAGACACTACAAAATGAATAATGATTTGATTTCTGGATCAAAACTGAAATTTAATCGTCATACCTTCAATGTAGATAGCTGGAGCTCTGTTCTCTAGTGTTTTCGTGATTCCCAAGGCATGCCAAGGATCCACAGATCCATGTACGAAAACAACATTCGTAACATCTATATTCAACGCGCCATACATAATATTTGTTCTTTCTACAGCGTCTTGTAAAAACGTGAGGTTGTATCTGGGACCAAAGATGTCTGTACATTGCTGAACCGAGAAGTCTAGAGGGAACTTATCTCCAAATATTTGTGGCTTATAATCAGAAGTTTGATAAAATCCAAATTCAGTGCAGGTCTGATATGTCCATTGCCTACCTGTAATTTCATAGTACTATAATTACTCTTTGATATTATCAGACAACTTGAATGAAACAAAAATTTAACAATACAAAATCTCTAAACAAAAAAAGGGTGGAAAAATTAGAAGAAGCATACAATGATTATTATATTTGAAAATAACAATATACAAAACCTTAAAAAATGAACGTAGAATTGTAGGAAGCCTAGTTTTTGTGTCATAGTTGCTAAATATGGTCGAGATGCGTTTCTGGTTGTAAGTAGTTACTAATTAATGAAATAAAATTACTTTTTTATCTCTTGGACTCTGACATATACTTTATTAGTTTTTCTGAATTCTCTGTTATCAATTATACGATTCAATCGAGAAACAATTAGATTTGAGTGAATAACTCTAATCGACCCTAATGAAATATAGTTTCGTTCCTAACTTTATGAAGGGAGCTGCCAAACACACAAACTGATGGACAGACTCACGAAAAAAGAAAAAACATTATAATAGAAAATCACATTTTATTGAATCATTTTTCGATTTTTCTTTAATGTACTATGATGCAATATGTCTTTGTAAATATACATCTGTGGTTGATGTCACACCACATTATGGATTGAAAAAAATATACTTATGTTCAAAAGTGTGGCTGATTCATTTTCATCTATGTAGTATGCATTTTATGTACTGTTTTTAATATGTATCCATCCAATATGTTTTAACTTTTGTGTGAAATTGACTATTGTTAATGTGTTTGTACTTGTTGTTTGTTTTTCATTTTTTTT